CCCCTTCAATCACGCTTCCCTGGCCTTTACGGTGTTCTTTAAAACGCTACCTCTGAGAATTTTAGCACACTGACAAACGCTCAGCCACTACGGGCTGCACTGTAAAAAATATTCTGAAATTTTAGAGCAAAATATCTCTTCGACGCGTCCTACGAACAAAGCCGATGACACCCCCATGACAACTCCGATTCATCCGAAATTTGGAGTACGGGGGTTTTCACACACGCTGGGGTCTGAATCTTGCAGTGCCGAGATTGTCCGGGCCCCCGGGAACGTCATCGGGGACCTCCCGAGAACACCGGTAGGGTAAAGGCTCCACCGAACCTTTATGTTCTACCCCCTATTTTTCTTCCTCCGTTAGCCGAAATACGCTAAAAAGGAATAAAAAACCAACCAATTTATCAGAAAAAGTTGTTTAATTTTAAGCCATTACTTACATTTTATATGCATCTTCCATTATCAGGTTTGGCTGTCACAGCTGACCGGGGAAAGTACAATAGTCAACTGAACATACGGTTAAGCGGCATCGCAACTTTGCATTTTGCAAAGGACCGGATTGCCTCAACGCAAATATAAATACACCGGCGGAATCTAGAAGGTCTACAGATTCAATACCACCCAATGCCAATGCATCCAAGGTGAAGCAGTAGTAAAGGATTTATAGTTTGTGGAATTTCCTTCAAAATCCGCATCAGCATAACCAATCACGCAGAAAGTAGGTTTTGCAGATTTTGTGAAAGTAAGCCCAACTGCTGAGGTTGCCTTCAGGTATTTTAGTACTCTCTTAGCTAGAGTCCAGTGGGCTTCTGTGAATGTAGTGTTATACTGACTCAGGAAGCTGGCTGAGAAAGACATGTCTGGTCTTGTGTTGACAGTCAAGTAGATTAATCTCCCCATAAGTTCTTGGTATGGAGCATCAATCCGCTGCCCTTCAGACAATAGATGTGGTTTTAGTTTAGTTTCCATGGGGGTTTCAATTATTCGTTTGCAGTCAGCCATGCGGAATTTCTCCAGAGTATCTAATATGTATTTTTGC